ATGTCATGTTACTGTATACGATGAACACTGAAAAAACTGAAACATTGACTTTAAGTTAATGTATTATTTAAACACATTTCACATACCTGTATTAGGTTAGTTGAAAGCAACAATATTAAGTTTAAATACAAAATATTACGTTCAACTTAATGTTATTGCTTGCAACTTAACACATTTATGTGAAATGTGTTTACGTAATACGTTAATAAGTCAACGTTTCAGTTTTTCAGTGTAGGAATGTGAAGAGCTTTTAGAATACATATGGTGAATTCCAAATAATGAAATCAAAATAATGGATTTAAATTACCAACATTTTCACAGTAGAGTCCAGTTGAAAAATCCATAATAATTCTGATCCTTGTACACAAAGACAAATGTGTGAAAATCCTTGCTTTAGCTTTCATTTCAACATTATCCCCTCATTTCTGATCTGTTGCAGTCTCACGGATCAGCCTGTCACAGGTGTCTGTCAGGGGATGGATGTTGGGAGCATTTTACAAGCGATGCCCGTTTAAATGACTTCATCTCCTTAACGTATACGCACGGCATCTGAGAAGTACAGACTCGTTTAAATCAAAGCAGAGGGAAGTTAACTTTCATCGGGGGCAAAACTTGAGAGTAATCACAGCCCCGAATCAGAGCTGACTACAGAGGGCACTAAAAGGGTATGAGAAGTCAATGCTTTTATGGAAATGCCGTGGTGCCAAACAACAAATACAAACTCATATGGATGTTGATCTACAGCCTGTCCGCTATTCAGTTCCCTCTGCTTTTATTTTTTTCTTCCTACGGCTGTGTAAAACGATCAATAGCAAGGGCACATTAAGGTCTGGGTCGTATACTTTATTTATATAAGGCAATGACATATCCGTATGATGCAATGGCTTTTGGAGGCATGTATTACTGCGCCAAACAAATAAATATATTTATGCTCGCTGGGGAGGTGGAGAGATTGACGGAACAACGGGAAACGACAAGCGCCCAAATCCATCACGGCAATCTTTCAAAAGGAATGCGCCTGCGATTTTGTCCACTTCCTTCTTATTCAGCGTTTCAATTAATGTCCCTGCTTCCCTCTCCTTCACTTACAGCCATAACTCAGGGTGGGATTACGGAGAGAACCGGTGTTTTGCATATGGAGGGGCTGTTGCTTGAATCAGAATCAAACGAGCGTAGGAGAAGAAAAGAGCCACAAGCAGCAGGGGGAATTGACTTTACCCACTATTTTATTTTATGACATTGAGTTTGAGCCACTTTTAAAAGATCAAATAGAAAGCCATCATCACATGATATAGGTTCATTGAAAATGGATGCTTTAAGAGCAGTAAATAATATAGAGATCTTAGTTTAGCTAGATTTCTGATTTCTTTCAGCGTCAGTTGGATATTATGTGAAACATTTTGCACTAAAGGTAAACAATTCTCCAATTAGTGTGAGACGTGCAGGAAAATAAACCGTATGACGGTTGAATTGGTGACTTTTTTATGTTTTGTTTCCCCTTCACATCATATTGGAAACAGCTTTGTTTTATTTGTAATAGCCTAACATAGTGGTGTTAATGATTTTTTTTTTTTTTTTTGTAATCATTTATATTTTTATTATTTGTCTTTTATGACGATTTTTATATATATATATCTCTTACTTCTATGCATTTTTTCACTTTTTGTGAATTACAAATATTTTCTTTAAATCCAAAATATTTCAATAAAGTTTTTTTGTATTCCTTTCAAGTAATGTATGCACAAACAGTTGCTGGTAAGTATGAGTATGTCCTGCTCTTTTAATTGAGTGTAAATAGAGCATCTTTGGGTTGCAGACAAAATCAGCAGTTTGTGGACATCACTTTTCCTTCTGGAATATTGTTGTTGGTTGATTTCGAAAGCAATGCTGCAGATGAATTGATCATTCAAATATCTGCAACCTGCAGACACAATCTCCATGTGTTCAAAAACACACCACTTTAGTGTGAGGGAACGTACTGATGACATTTGGTTTCTCTTTTACACACAAGCATGCACGAGCCCTCCCACCATGATGTCATCAGCATCACTGACACTTTATTAATGGGGGACTGTAAAGAGAAGAGCAGAGGAACAAACACCCGTCTCCCAGCAGAGAAACACACACACCTATATCCCAGCAGAGAAACACACACATCTGTCTCCCAGCAGAGAAACACACACATCTGTCTCCCAGCAGCTGTAACTCTCTAAAACTGCATCAATTCCAAAGATGTATTTTTTTGAGAACTAGTTATGATAAACAATATACCTGTCCTCTCAGTCTTGGTTGAAAATAATTCAGTTGGACTATTTTCCAAATGTGTAACATACCACAACTCATCTAAAGCTATGGGGGATGTGGCCTGAATCCAAATTGAACTAGTGTAGGAGGAAAAGAGGTTACAGTGATTTCACAGTTCGAGCTATTTTGAAAAGCTTAACTAAAAAGCCAACTAAATCTTGATAAAGGTTTCAATTCCGAAGACACATCTTTCTCTGATAATTAGTTGTGAGCATGTTAACACGACCTGTCCTCTGTGTCTTTGTTGTAAATAAATCAGTTGGAGTAACTTCCCAATTTCTTACGATACATAACACCACTTATTCAAATCTACAGTAGTGAGGGGCTGTCGCTTCAATCACAATCAAACAAAGAGAAAAAGGTCTTCAGGTTAGGGTTAGCCTGCTACTAATAAAAGCTGAAATAGGAAACTATCATCATTTTTAATTTAGGCTAAATTCCAAAAATATGTATTTTTCTGAGAGTTGGTAATAGGCATGTAAACAAGATACCTGTCCTCTGAGTCTTTCTTTTAATCAATTCAATTCAAGGTAAGTTGTGATATTTTACAAGACTCATCGAAAGCTTCGGAGAGGTTGTCGTTTAATTCAGAATCAAATAAGTGTTGGAGGAAAAAAGGAGTTGGGGTAGGTGCGTCTTTTATAAGATGAAGTAGAAAAGCACCATCCTTTTGATTAAGGTTATATATTTTTTGGACATAGTAATGAGCAAATACATTTAGATACCTGTCGTCTGAGGAATAACTCAGTTTAACCTTCTACATTTGGTACAATACATAACAGCACTGAAGGGCTTTGGATCCTCTATCAGGATGAAAAGAGTGAGGGTTACCTTGCTACTTTTAAATGCTAAAGTAGAAAGCTATCATAATCTTAATGTAGGTTGAATAAAAAAAACACAGGTTTATTTTTGGATAATTAGTTATGAGCGTGTAAACAAGATACCTGTCCTCTGTGTTTGTTGTAATTTATTCAGTTGGGGTATCTTTCCAAATGTGTTAAAATACAAATACACTACTCAACTATGGCTATGGATGAGTTGTCGTTTATTTACAAAAACAAATCTTCTTTTTCAGAATTAAAAAAAACGGAGAGCTGGGACTCGAGCAACTGGTTTGGGTGGCGTTCTGTCCGGCCCAAGATCCCCGTGTAATAGGATTCCTCAAAGCTGCAGATGGATGGCAAATCTAGGCGGTTTCATCTACTAAAAGAGGGCATAAATCACGGGCAGAGGAAGCGGGGACGAGGCAGGGGTTATCACCAGTCTGCCTCCCTCATGAGAGCTTTGCATTAAAGCATTAGTGAAATTAATTCATCTTTCATAAGAGGTTTGAGCAGTATCTGTGATCTATGATAACAACCAATTTCTCACTACGGAGGGGCCGGAGGAGGGAGGGAGGGAGGCGGAGGGAGGAAAAAAATACTCTGCAACCCTGATAGACTACACAAATCTGCTCTTTTTAAATGGGCTAACATTATCTGGAGTGCTGCTCTCTGGAGCATCATCCCAGATTCATATCCCAGCCGGGAAAGAGGCATAAATCACCGGGCAAAACTTTTCTCATCTGCCCCCCCCCCCCTTACACACACACACACCTTCTTTCTCCCTACATCACTCCCCTCATCCCTCTCACGCTGCCAGGTTTGTTTTGTGGTTTTCGGTGCTTGTCCCGTTAAACGCAGAACAATGCTTTCTGCTGTAATCATTTTAAATGGCTTTGCGCCTCAATCAGTGTAATTGGTTTTAGATCATCTGTGGAATGAGAAAGTGGGAGATGTTTGTGTGCGTGTCTAGGGTGGGGAGTCGTGCAGTGTGTGAAAGAGACGGAAATTGGGGGGAAGTGTGTGAAGGGGCCGTATCCATCTGTTTTGCATATATTTGCTCGGGGGGCCGTCGGAGCATGGTTGACAGATGAGTGGGGAGTGCAGGGATGACACACGGCGGTCCTGCTCTTTATTACTATATCAGCACAGCCATGCTCAGCTCGCTCTGATAACACAGAACCAGAAACACAGCACAGTGAGCGGAGAATTGCAGCGCGGGACATAGTCAGGACTTTCTCCGTCAGCATTTGATTTATTTTTGACTGATTTGTCTTCAAATCAGCCGTGTGTGAGCTGGGAAAAAACACGACTCCAAATCAGGAACATACACAAAAAACGAAATGGCTTTTGGAAATTGATTTGATAAAAAGTACTAAAAAATAAATCTATTTTTGGGTGGAAATTGTGAAGTTTGGCATTGAAAAACTCAATAGATCAAGTGATTATAGGACTACTTTTTCATTCAAAACATCAACATTCATTAGCTCAGTCCAAAGGGTATTGTATTTGTCTTCAAATGATTGAAATCTTTGTGGATTTCCTTGAACGAGGAAGAAAAATTACTCTAAATCAACAAGATATACTAAAAACGAAATGGCTTTGGGAAATTAATTTGAAAGAACTACGTCTAATAAATCTAGTTTTTGAGGAAAGTGAAGTTTAGCATTTAATTACCCAATAGGTCAATCCAAATGCATTGGTTTGAGGCCAAAGGCTACTGTACTTTAACAACTGGTTGGTTCCTTTTCAGCTTTATTAAACCTGCATACTGAATGCGATGTGTGCTCCTTTGTCACAGCACGTCTCAGCAGGAAGCTGTCATCACATGACAACGCCAGCATCAGTGAGTAAAGTGTGCTCAGTATTACCCACCTCAGGGAAGTAGTCCTGGGGAAACTTCTCCTTCTCCAGCGAGGGGGTGCTTTCTAGTGTCTCTGAGTACGTTTCCTTCCCCAAGACCTTCTTGAATTTCTTGGCTGAAGTGGTTTTGAAGAGATAGAAGGAAAGGGGGAAGGAGGTGAGGACAGAAAGCAGGGAGAAAAAGTGTATTGTTACAAACATGGTTAATTTTGAGACCCCTGTATGATCCCCTGATACAATCACTGAAACAGCTTCCTCAGACAACTGCACCACCTGCTGGTCAGAATGAAGAACATCTGTATCTGAACATAGGTGAGTGTGAGAGGTCACTACACTGGGAAGATAAGAAGCCTTTTTTTGTATTAACAGGGGGGGGGAATATGACCATGAATATTTCCACATCCCTCTGTATTTCCTACAACGTTAACATTATACCTGTGCCAAACCCAGGTCTACCTTAGAGACTCCTAATGCATGCCTGTCTGTGATTGGAGATGGTACATCCTTTTCTTGAAGGGTATTGAATATTGATTTGCGATTTTGAACGCAACGCAGAGTGATGTGAGGGAGAACTGCCAATAAATAAGATCAATGTTCCTTCTTTCCATCATTTCAGACATGTCACAGTAGAAAAAGCATGAACAAATGGCTGTTTTTCATTTACAGGGTTCCAACGGTTTCCATATCAACATTTCTGGAATTGGTCCAGAACCACATTTCTAGACTGGTAGATTTTTTTAGACCATATTTAACATTGCAGTACAAATAGCTAGAGGTTTGTAAAGAAATAGTTGGTGCAGTGCCTATTCCCTTGCATATGGCCTCCCCCAACCCTAACCCATGTTGAATGACCTTAGACAAAGTTTGCATCAAGCTTTCTTTTACCTTTTGGAATCCTTGGCCAACCAGTCTTTACATATGGTTTATATTTATTTGATATCGTTCTGGAAAACTTGCAGTTAACCATAGTGGCCTATTTTGACCTAACCCTAACCCTTTCACTTGGGGGCAGAACTATTTTGTAGACTGTGACTCTGAGGCGGGCTCTTTGAAGGACCATGCATTTTGTTCCTTTCGTGATATTAAGACGCTCTAGCCTGTGCTCTCTCAAACAGGGACTGAGATTTTGCTTCTAACGCCAAGAAAAACACTCAAACTGATCAGTTTAATTCGGAATTCTATACTTTAGAAAACAAAATAGGAGAAATAGTCCACAAAAAGATATTTGACATACTCTCTTATCTGTTTTCCATACTTATCAAGAACTGGAAATGCCTAAAAATCAAGTTCCATACATCCATAGTGTATCGGGACTCGTTGTCGGATGCCTGGTATCGTGTATGCTGGTTCACTGTCACAATATACTTGGACATTTTGAACAGATTCAATAACACCTGTGCTATTATTTTCCTCTTGTCAACCCTAACCCTATCACAAGACAATATGACTGAAGTGACCTATTAAAGAAAAAGTAAACAAAGCATTACAGAATGTTTTGTATTTCATATATTTCTGATCTTTAAAGTGTGTGTGTGTGTGTGTGTGTACACCCCCCCGTCGCCCCCCCAGTCGCCCTGTCCTTCACTGGGGTAACTGGTGCTAATGCTGACTTGGGTCTAATAAGAAGCGAGGCTCCTCCACATCTATATCCCTTCTTTAATTAGCGCGACCGCCGGCCCCCGGGGCCCTCTGACACCGCAGCATGATGAGACCGCCCTAACTGTCCAATAACCCGCCGCACACCATTACTGAAGGCCCGAAATCTTATGAATTAAATCCTAATATTAATAAGCATTACCATTCTGTCCCCCTCCCTTTACATTATCGTCAAAGCCAATCTTAGCACGCTGCTTTCTGATGGAAGCGGGAATAGCCTGCAAATGGTTGTGTGGGATATGCAGGGGTGGGATTAGGGGGCACGCTGTGAGGATTTAATTTCCACACAGTGGGGATGATGTATATGTGGAAGTGTGTTGCGAACAGGGGGGGGGGGGTTTACTCACCTTTGAAATCAAACTGCTGGATGTTTTTCAATGACTCGTGGATAAAGTAGAAACTTCCCAGAGCCTGCAGGAGGAAACAAGCATGTGTGAGATTGGACACGTTTTTCGTCAATGGTTCCATACAGAGATATTTATTTCTTTACTGGGTCTGGATACGCTACAGGATGTGTATCGAGACAGACAAGATTTATCAAGAATCTCCACATATAGGGTAGGAGAAAACTAGTGTAGGAGAAAAAAGACAGTTAGGGTTACCCTGCTACTTTGAAAAGCTGAAGTAGAAAGCCACCATATTCTTGATAAAGGTTAAATTCCAAAAACAAGTATTTTTTGGATCTTTAGAACACATTTCCCAACACCTTTGCCAAATGTCCAACCTGTTTAAAAGCTATCACATTTTTCTTCTGGTTTTAGAGAACCCTGTTCAGATCCATTTCATGTCAAGAGTGCAAAGGATTGCCCCAATGTGAGAATGCTTGGCTTCATTTCTTTAAAGGATATGGATGCGCCTACAGGATACATATCAAGACAGACGAAATGTATCAAGATTCTCCACATAACAGGGTAGAATAAAAATAGTGTAGAACAAAAAAATACGTAGGGCAACAGTTAGGTTTACCTCGCTACTTTTAAAAGTAGAAGTAGAAAGCAACCATACTCTTGATTAAGGTTTCATTCCAAAAACACAACATTTCCCACCTTGTTTGCCACAGTTCCAACCCATTGAAAAGCGACAGTTTATCACATTTTTCTCAGGGATTAGGATTGAGCTGGCAGTGGCTAATGTGGTTACCATTGTAACATTGCATTGAAATGTGAAAGGTTAAATAATAAGGAATTCACCCAGAAGGCAAAGTGTGGGTAGAACTTGAAATTTGAATTTATCTGCAGGCTGCACGTAACAATTCATGTGTACATAGCATGTCTTTGTATACAGATGTATTTTTTCTTTTTCTGCTTGTTCAATAATAAAAACATGTGAAAAATGGCATCAACTTTAAGCCTTGATCTCCTTTTAATATACATTTGTTTGATGGTTAAAGTACTAGGTTGATTCAGTAAGAAGTTTAAGGAAACTGGTGAACGTGTCATTATGATTCGTGAAAAGAAATACAAATAATAGCAATAATATTAAGATGAAATCAAAAATATTAGGTTAAACTTAAATTAACTTAATAGTATTGCTTTCAACTAACCTGTTGAGATAATACATTTAATTAAAGTCAACGTTTCAGTGTCTAAGAACCCTGTTCATAACCCTTTCATGCCAAGCGTGCGAAGGCTTGACCTGATGTGTGAATGCTGGGCTAATGAAGTGGGCTGATAGAGCCTCTTTAACACACTCCACAGCACACTTCCAATGGGAAGCCCCCGACACTACACACCGGAGACTACACACCAACAGGTGCAGCGTGCTCTGGTACAGTACACTCCGTGATCTCGGGCACCAAGTCTTCTAACGTGGCGAGTCAACAATTTGAGCTCTCAAAAGGACACATTCAGATGGACTTTTCAATGAGCACAGATCAACTTCAATAGGCTTAAAATCTTAATTTTCCCTGTGAACAATCAGGAAACTCTCCCAGTCGGCGGACGAGCCAATCAAAGTCTGTGGGAAGAAGTGTGAGTGGCGCAGAGGGGGATTGGATGCGGTTCACAGTCCACTACACTTACCCTCTTTACATTTAGGGCAAATGGAGGCAAAACTCAAGCTCAATCCCCTGTCTGGGAGATAGCAGACGTTGGGATAGGGATCATTCTGCTCTAAGAGGGTGAGGAGTATGTTGTTTTTTTTACTTCCAAATAAAACAAGAGAGAAATAATTAGGCTGAGATAGTACAGTGAAGCTGCAAAGGTAGAAGATTCAGGTACAGTAGAAGAAAGAGGAGTGGTGAGGTGGGATTAAAGGGGTGTGATCAAAAGGAGGAGGAGACTGGTGTAGAAGAAAAGGATTTAGTCTGGGAGCTTTTCCCCGTGTTCTCTCATTGAGGCAGGGTGCAGACGCCTCTCTGCGCGGCGGGAGAGTTCTCGCTCCGGCCTCTGCATTATTTATGAGCGCCGGCACATCTTGAGATTAAACATTTGCTGATTTGTCAAAAGCACAAACATGAGGTCCTGCCCATCTCCTTGACATATAAGTTCAGCCGACGGAAAACACTGTCGCACATTTAATTGATGAGAACGGCGGCTGGTGACCCCGAACCCCTCCGCCGCGCTCCCCCCCCGCCTGACTCATTCCTTCTCCAGAGGACAGAGGGAAAGGGGGAGGGGAGAAGGGACGGTGCTGGGCGAAGGCAGGACTCAAGGTCAGAGCTTCCCATCGCGAGAGGACGGGTTCCAGGAAGGCCCCCCGAACACTTATTGGTGCTTGCTTGTCTTTTATGTTCTCTTTCACCTTAAAGTGGTGACAACAGACTTGGAGACAGAGATGGATAGCAGAGCAGGCGGAGGGAGGGGAAACCGTGCTATTTGTCAAAACGCTGCCACTATGCTAACTGATGCTGTCTGTGTAAACATTTCAGTGGGCAGTGAAGGAAAAATGACTATTTTGAAATATGACACATGGAGATAAAATGATATACGTGTCAAGGTATTAGATAGTGAACAGCACAAGTGCAATTTCTGTTTAAAGTCAAAGTGCTCCTGCTGAGAACAATGTATTGATTAGCTGCATAATGAATACCTACAGATCTTTAGAAATAATGAAATCATGAAATCATTGGATAAAGGGAATATTGAGGAAAAATGACTTTCTGCTGCTTGAATATTTATATAAAGTTGTCCCGCTATTCTCTGTGTATATATTTATTATCTTGAATATATAGAGCTGGAACTAATAGCCGACTGATCAATCAACAGAGAATTAATCAACAACGTTTTTTGGTTGCTTAGTATTTAATTGATTAATCATTAAAGTCATTTCTGTTGATGCAACAAATGCTTTTTTCAGCCTCTCAATTACAGAGATGCCTTTTCTGTTTTAAATCATATTAGGGTGAATATCTTTGGCTTTTGGACAAACAAATAAGACATTTAAAGATAGCACATTGAGGCACTTGGGTAAACACTTTTCACAATGTTCTGACGTATCATTGACTAAATGTAATTGAAAATATACTGGGCAGATGAATCTATAAAGGAATAGATGTTTTTGGCAGCCCTACCGACCAAAAAAAATGTAGTTCTGCAAAATCAGAAAAAGGAATATTCTTTTCAAAAAGAAAATTATCAAGCAGTTTTCAAATCTCTACTTAACCTCAAATCCTGATTAAGGAATGTCTTCAACTGCGAAAACAACAGAAGCACTTCAGAAAGAAATGATGAAAGCCTGAACTGTATTCCCTCTCTGATACTGTCTCTCTTTAGGCTCATCCCTCTTTGCTACAAACTCAAATCAAAAATGAAAAGGACATTAAACAAATCGGCATGAATCAATTTTCAAATAAATGATAAACAACTACGCTTAAGTGGCTATCCGTGTAATCGCAAAAATCTACTTAACCCTCCACCCTAATAAATATTTATTTGACGTGGAGGTTCAGGAGCTAGCAGCTGCTGCCCCCTCCCCTCTGCCTCCCTGCTGCACTCTTCATGAAGAAGCTATTATATTAGCAGGGCGCAATTAATCCATTTGTGTCCTTACATGACAGGCTCAAAATATTCATTAGGGCCGGACTGCGCTGACAGGCCATGCTTATCTTTAACCAGTCGCTTTACAATGGCCTGTGTCAAACGTATGTTTGTCACGTCCCTCTTTATTGATTAGCTGCCAGATTCACTTGAAATAATTAAAAGTATATTTTACATATTTATAAACCCCACTGCCACGGCGGCTACTTAATTTTCCATTAGTAAAATGCAGTCTATTAAGTGCACCACGAGGGCCACGGTGTGGGGGGGTTATGGGAAATGAGTAATCACCATAATTGTAGACACAAAGACAATACGCGCCATAAAAGCTGGGGATTTATGACTCCTCATGGCAATGCTATCTCTTATCACGAGTCGTTTTGGCTACACCGATAAGGGCACACTGATTCTGTGCTCGTGCATGTGCGTGTGTGTGTGTGTGTGTGTGTGTGTTGCTACAAGTGTGTATTTGACATTTCCAAAAGCCCAGCAGATGTGGGCTGAACAAGTCCCAATAGACTGGCTGCTGGAAAATAGAGAGTTGAGCGCTGCAGTACATAGCCTGCACACTGTGCTCCGCTGAATGCTTTATCGATACCGGGGGCTGCAAAAATTAGTTCTGGCCGACCAAGACACGCAGGAATTCTGTGACCTCTGAATAGATTTTCTGCGTTTAATGTGAAAAATGAGCCATAAAGCAAACATAAAAGTAATCATTTTTCTTCAAGGTCTCACCTCCAATCTGTGCTAAGGGAGAGTGTCCAGTCCCAGGAGAGCTGACACACACACACTCCAGTGTCATCGCAGTGTCACTGTACGACTGCCCGGGGTAATGTTCTGCTGGACCCTGGCAGAGTGCTGCTGATGGTCGTGCAGTGTGGAGGTGTGCATGTGCTTCTGCAGGGCGTTTTAGAATAGATGATGCACTCAGAAAGCACTCGAACAAGGGGAGCTTACTGGAGATGTGCTCAATATCATGTTTTCATTATATATTATAATCTTTGGTGTATATATGTAGCTGTGTTCAGGTTAGGGCTGCACAATATGGAACAAATTACTAACTGTGACGACAGATATTCCAACTGCAAAATGAGAGGGGATACCATTTGAAAGCATTAATCACATCTTGTTTTATGCAAATAATTCCCATAGCAGAAAGAATACACAGGGAACATGAACAGTAACACCATCAGACAGGTTGTAAACAAGCCTCCAGTTAACCCAGATGATGTAAACCACTTTATTTGGAGGACAAACGGAAAGTGAAAGCGCCTGAAATGTTGGTAATATTCCCCCATAGGAAAATTGTGTGCATGTGGAAGCAGATTTAATTAGTTCCCAACCTGTTTGATCCTCTCACTGAAATCCTTTTGAGCAATGTTGCTCTCAGAAATGGACAGGTGAATACTTATAAACGACAGTGAATATGAAAATAAG